AAGCTTGGCGGCGATGTTCAGGACCTCGTTGCAGTGATGCATGACGTTAGCGCCTTCAGCCATCTTCATGCTGAAGAGTTGCCGCTTGAGGTAGATCCTTCCCGCTTTCTGGGATCCACCGTACAGCACCTTCAGGCGTTGCCACGCAACCCACGCTTCCTCGCAGTTGTCGACCACATGGTGGTAATCCGCACCCATGTGCAGCAACATCATTCCAAACGCGATGTTGCTGGTCTTGACGTAGTCGTCCTGCGCCCGGGGGTCCACATACGTTGGGGAGCTTTCCCGGTTGACAGCGTGCCACACTGACTTCGTCAGGAACACGCCACGCATGTATCGACTCCAAGTCGAATAGTTATCCCCATCGAACTTATCGATGAGGACGTTGGAGGATGCGTGGCCGGCAGAAGACATCGCGCTTGGGCTCATAACCTGTTGGAGGGTGTGAAGCTTGACGACCGAAACTGGGAAGGATGCTGGATGTCCACTCGGAAGACCGGAGAAGACACTTGGGGGGTAGATGGAAGATTGGAAAGTGATTGATTATCGGAGCTTATCTGCCTACACACTTATTTATATGTGTCCACATAAAAATCAGTCGGCGCGTCTAATCACCCTACTCGTCTAATCGTTCCTGCGTAATTACCGAAGTAAGAACTACACCTTAGAGTTCGGGTTGTTACGGTACCCTTTGAAAATCGCTCCTCTAACTGTAGTGAAGTTGATCTCACGAAATTGCTTGTGTGAGTGTCGATCTTCCACTTGCCCAGACTTGCCGACTCACGGAGGGGGTACTTCGATCCGTGCCTTGTAGTATAGCCTTGTGCTCACCTTGTGTACCCGTCGGTTGGGCTGGCTTGAGCTCTTCGTAATGGCCTTGGGAGGTGTCGATCTCGCTGAGAGGTTGGGTTGAGCGTTCGCTTCCGGTGCGGAAATCTTCACACCACGAACAGGGGTTTTGGGATCTTGATCTTGTGGCGCGGCGGTCTCTATTTGGAGATGTCGCGATCTCGATATTGAATCACACCGATCTCGATTGGTCTTCGGGATCGGGGTATTTGCTGTGCGGAAATCTTCGCTCAGCAAATAGTTGTCTTGCTTCGATCTTGCGTTGGGATCGGTCCGATCTGGTCTTGGGATTGGCCGATCTTGCTGGAAGTGCGCAATTAGGGCAGATCGGTGTCTTGCTTCGCCAAAATGAAACGTGTCAATCTGTCCAGTAGATCGTCTCGGTCTTGCTCGGTCTTGTCTTGAACTCCTTGTCCAGATCTTCTGACCACTTGAGCCGCCTCGCGATCTTGTAACCAAAATCCTTTTCCTTGTCGCTGCTACCCTAGCAGTTGAGTTGAGTAGGAGTACTTGATCGATCCAGGCCAGATATCCCGAGATCGCTCTTCTCGATCTTGGCCAACAATCCAACATCGGTCTTCTGTGTCCCCGTAACACGCGTGCCTTGACCCGCCGGGGAAGCCAAATCAATCTTGCCCGGAAGAGGGGAGGAGAACGTGCGTCGTGAGCAGAAGAAGTAGAGTTCAAGTCTGTTTATTAATCAAACAAATTAATAGCCATCCTATCCTTAAAGCATATTCCAAACTGTAGGTCACTCTCCAAACCGATATCACCTTTAATCTTGACCGCCCCCTTGAACACGTGTCGAAATCTCGTGACCTGTGCTCCAAAGATAGCGCCAATACTCCCGGTATCGTACCTAGACACCAAAAAGGGAGCAAATTCCAAATGCGGTACCTAATACTCAATTTTGGTACAAAAAAGTCCAAAATAGTATCCGAATGCCGAATGTGTCTAAATCCATTTTACGACGTCAATTCAACCGGCTTCCACTGGCTCTTACGATCTGAACTTTTGGGACATCACTCATGGACCTTCATCAAGCATGTTTATCACTACTCAACAGCTCCACCACCGATATATCCATAGTCAACAGGGAACATGACCGATCTGATGTCCAATTCGAGATCGTTGAGGACCGACACAGTACAATCTGGCCATATATGTTCTTCCGTCCATTGAGCGTACTCCAATACCATCCTCACGGGTTTATCTGCTCAATGGGACCATCCGCAGTTCTCACAACGGTCCCACGGGCTCCCACAAACATCCCCACTTCCAGATCGGTCCATAATTAACCTAAATCAGTACTCCCTTCGGGAGACCGGTAAAGAGTGTCACCGATCTGATGGATTTCGGCACCTTCGTCACAGAGTCATATCACATCACCTGATCTCAGATCCTTGTCCCAGATCGCTTCATGAAAATCTTCTAGTTGTCGTCTTGTCCCAGATCGCTCCGTCTCAGGTCGATCCATATCCATCAGTCTGGTAACAGTTGGACCAGACCACCGATCCACGACCCAAAATTTAATTAGTGACTCTACCACAACCGATTTCTTCCGGTGGCTTCACACCAAAGGGTGGAAGCCGACGCTCTCGCGTTTTTACAGGTCACCGGGCGCAGTGTCCGCCCGACTAGAAGAATTACGATGCCCTCGACTGAGACCCACCGGCTTGTCGCTCGACAAGACTTTCAACGGTGCCGTCAATTGGGTCACCGGCTCGTCGACGGCGAGAATCCTTTCTTCGCTAGTAGCGAGCGCTGCCCAACACGGGCCTTCCTAACTCTTGGCGCTACCGGTCGATACCTCTACAAGCTATGCCTCTCGAGGTTCGACGGCAGGCATAATCTAGCCCACGCGGGGAATTATTTTAAGTGTACGCGTGTCTTGGACTTAAAAAATTCTGCACTGTATTAATTCATCTCTTTTCCTATCGCTGAACCGTTGAGTGGTCCTCTGTTCTTCTCCTCTTCCCTTGAACGTAAACTAAGTGCAATAATTCTTTGTCGATATTCTCGCACTCTTCCCTACGATCTATGGTCGACGACCTCCACATCGACGACCTACATTTCGACGACCTACTCTTCGACGACCTTGACTTCGACGACCTACACTTCGACGACCTCCACCTCAACAACCTACACTTCGACGACCTGCAGTTCGACTACCTTGACTTCGACGACCTCGAGATCGACGACCTCGAGTTCGACGACCTTGACTTTGACGAGCTTTCATTCGACGACCTCGGATTCGACAAGTATGTCGGTCTTTGCCACTAAATCCCTGTATTACAACCGCCCCAGTAGTGATAAGATTCTAACAGGCGAGTGTCACGACTTCATTATTCCATTCCCTCTATGCTTTGTCGTTCGTCGTCTCGCTTCGCTCTCCGCTTCTTGTCTTCGCCTCAATAGTGGTCCTTTTAATCTTGCCTATCTCGTCCGTTAGTTGTCTGACCTTTGTCTTGTCGGTGGCTTGTGCGTGATCCTTGGAAGTCTGTCGACGACCAAGCTTTCAGCGAATGTAAATAAATTCGGACTTGATGCTGATCTATCTCCTTCGCCTACCGCATTGGTCATTGATTTACCGACCGCTTCGGCAGTTCTATTGGCATCCGTTGAGCTTGTTCCCGTAACGTCCGTCGGTCCGGTAGCGACGACAGCCAATTCCTCGCCGAGTTCTCACTCATGCGGCTTAAGCGATCGTGATTCTGGATCAACGTCAGACGTTTGTCGTCTTATTTCGGGCCTTGACGAACGCATGCAAGGTCGTGAGCTCAAACTCACTCGACTAATTGCCACGTTGATGGAATCACCGCGTCCTCTTCTTAATTTGTCTAGTCGGCAGTCCATTTCTCGGGCGAGGACGCTTACGGACATGAATGTTTTGACGACGGGTGATGAAGTCCCTGCTGTGGATCGCTCTGGAGACATCGGGTGACTCTGCGTTGCACTCTCGCAGTCTCATCGCTCGAACGATTCTCTTCGACGACGTACTCAAGCTGCTGTCGCGGAGTCGGTGGATTTACGCCACCGGTTGACGACAATCGAGAAGGAGTACGAGACTTGGAAGAGTGCAGCTCTCAAGGTCGGCACCGAGCTCATTGACTCGCTTCACAAGTCGATTTACTACTTGGAAGCGTTTGAGTCTCAGGCCGCTCGACATAGCGAGGATCGTCTGGCATCAGCTGAACAAGTGGTTGCTACGCTCAAGACTGGCCTTATCGATCGAGACTGGCAGATCTCCCAGCTAACGCGCCAACTCGCCGACGCGGAAGCCCGACAAATTACGTTTTAAAACGTCGCGACCACGTATTTTTTCCAGTTCGAGGAAGCTACCTCCGCCTTGTGTACCGGTGATGCACACTCCCTCCGGATCGCTCAGCGTACTATTATTCGCCAGCAGCAAGTCATTTGACGACAGAAGACACTCCTTCGTCGTAAAAACATTCGTTGCCCGCTGGACCCTCACCTCGCGGTGGCTGCTGCGGTCGATGTTGAAGTTTCTATAAATGAATCCGCGCGACATGGACTTGAATTCGCGCTTGTGTCGCGTTCTTGCCACGCGATTTCCGGACGTGATATCTCTCAGTGGGTCGTCGACGTTCCAAAGCATATTTTACGCTCGAGCCTGCAGCGGCTTCTTCTCGGCGGATTACGCCGGCAAAAGCACGCGCTGCGTTGATGGGGTCACCTTTTCCAGCTGCTTTGCTAGTATTGCCGTCCTCCGTTTAATCCACCTCTGTAAGACTATTCCCTGATCCGTCTTCCCCTATCGTCGCGTCCGGCGAGGGCACCTCATCGCCTCCGACCTCGGCTTCCATTGCACCAGAATCGTCGACAGTGTTCACCACTTCGACGACGAATATTTTCGTCTGAAGTATGTCTTCAATGGTCTCCCGAAACACTTTAAGCTCGGACCTTAGACCCACACCGGGGTTTTCTCAAGTATCCAGCACTTCCTCCCTGGTAAATAATCTGGCGCTGTTGTGTGGAATGTATAAGTCTTCAACTGATACTATGTGCTCTTCCACCGGTCTGTCTTCGTCGATGAGCTTGTCTCCACCATCTCTCGGGGTGTTCGTGATGTCATCTGCGACGTCTACGCATGCTGACAGCTCGTCGTCGTCGACAACTTCGCCCCAGTATTATGGCCTAGTCTTGGCGAACGTTCCTCCGTTGCAGCTTTCTCCGACTATCGCTTCCACTTCCCCAGATTTACCCGCATCCACGACGCCACCCGAATCGCGTCGCAAATCAGGCTCTGGTCGCACAAGTAACCGCAAGGTCTCCGTTGTTCCCAAGACGAAGCCCAAGTCTCCAAGCGCTTCATCCCGAACGCGACCACAAACACGGATTCCGTCCTCGACTGGGCTATCTCCGGCTCCGGCACGGATGATGACTCGTCGGTCGGCACGTTGCGCGCCTGGAGCGGCGACCATGACGTCCGAGCCCTTGTCAAGCCCAGACCCTTCGTCGACCGTTTCCCCTGTTTATACGCCTCATGCCGCTGTCTCGGGGGATGTACTTACAGTAGAATCAAGCCTGTATCATCGCCGGTCGTCGCTGCTGTTGCTGCTGTTGTTATGCCTGCGGTCGCTGCGAGTGTTGATTCCACCAACCTTCCATCGACTTCGGGCAAGAAATCTCCAAGAGCTTCATCCAAGCAAGTCACGAACCCGTCCTCGTCTCCAGCGCCATTTTAAACTTTGACTTCAAGCAAAATCCGTCCTGTAATGATTCCGTCGACTTTGCTGGACCTCGCACCCGTCGCGCTCGTGATCGTTTCATCGATGCAATTTTCCGGGACCCGTACGCTAAGCCCGTCCAAGAAGTGGAAGGTTGCTCCCGATCCTACAACCAAGCGCCACAAGAAGTCAGCATCCAGTGTTTCCGCACCCTTGTTGACACACTCTCCTTACTCGCCCACCTTCACTAAAGTTGTCGTTGTTGCTCCTGAGTCCTCCCTGTTAGTGGCCGATCGACTCCCGGAATCTCTGGCTGTGACATATTCCCTGCTTCGACCTCGTGCAAATCAAGTGATTGCTCGTGACTCTCATTCTACTCCCGCCATGTGTGCAAGTCGGCACGTCACGTTCTACCACTTCGGTTCTGCCCGCTGTTGGTCGCGTATCGTCTCCGCACAATCTTCCATTCGGCAAGTGAATGACGGGTCGAAATCTTTCCTCGCTCCCACTTCTACATCTCTCGATGTATTTTAAGTATTTGCGGATGTATTCAACCCATCGCACCCGTGTTAACGCACGTTGTCTTTGTTTCCTTCAACCCCCTTCTTCCTCGTCTAAAGACGTGTTGAATGACGCCCGGACCCGATAACGGGCTAAAACGCACTTGCCTCGTCCAGATTCTCTGATACCTGAGGTGGCTAATGCATGGGTCAAGTATCGGAGAGACTGCAGGAATCGAGTGCCGCCGGTTGGTGTTGACACTTGTTCGAGTATCTACGCTGCTCTTTGGGAACGCACCTACTTGCTTCTGGACTGGTGCGTTCTGATGGGCATGCATCCGGATCAAAACCTCAATTGTTCGGTGGACGACTGAATTCGCATTCACGCTGCGTGGTTTGAATACAACAGTGATCACAAACGCCGCGGCGATCTTCTGCGAGTGGTTGCAAAGGCTTTGAATAGTGTCCTTCGCGACTCTACTACTGTGAGATTCCGCTTGGACCAGATCCTCGACATGAACCGGAGTTATTCTTTGAGCCGTCGGTCGATGTTTACCCGGTCATAAGCTATGCGTGGGTACCCGCTAGCACCAATTGGATCTCCGATATTGGTGCTCTTGATCATGATGAACCTTGGCGTGCTTGGTGGTTGACACGTCCGTCAGAGCACCCATATAACACCTGTTTTCACCCTCGTAACCAGGGGGTTTCGGTCTTTGTGCCTGTGGGCGCATCCGAAAGAGATGTGGAGTCTTTGATCGTTGAAGGTGTTGATCCAGCCGAGACTCCACCTCCGGCTTTTGATCCGTCCGCGCTGGAACCGGAAAATCGTCATGGTATGCAGAATTTTCTTGATGATCCTCGTCGTGGGTCTACGCTGTTCTCGGGTTGTCCCATCACCAACGTCGCTAGAATTTTTTCGGCGGTCACTCGCACGCGATCTCGTAAACATTTTAATCAATTTTATCTTCGTTGTATTTTTACATGCATGTCAGTGCAGTATCACCATCTCTCATACCGTCTGCACCTTGCTTGAAGAAGGATATCCGCGGTGTAGTTCGCTTACTATACGTCGGTGACTTGCGCCATCTGCAGACGATTCTCTCGCTTCTTCTTTTTCAAGTAGTCGAATAATAGGCCTCCACACGACATTTTGGTTAGTGGCTCCCACGTGGGCTCATCGTATCCCACCCATTTGACCAAAAACTTCCTCTGACTCCTGTCAGTAATCGTCGTCCTTGTCGTGTCGTCATCCAATATAGTTTCGACTTCGTATCGACCACTATCCTTGTCGGGTACCCAGCTATCTTCTGGAAGTAGCTCCTCATCAAAATCAAGTCTATCCGTTTCTCCAAGTCCACGACTGGTTTTATCGATATTCGCTTCTATCTGGCAACTCCAGTTGAAACGCGAGCTCTTTAATTTGTCTCTTGACTTGGAAAGGACCGTGCCACCTGTGTGCCAATTTTTTTAGTCCAGGCTTCACCCGTTCCATGAATAGCCGCACTTGGTCTCCTATATTAATTGCGGAATTCGACATTCTTCTTGTCTTCGTGCTTTGAACTCTGCTGTCACCCCTTTGAGCAGCTTGATCTCCTGGCGCCTCATTTTCTTGTCCAGTATCCTGGACAGTGTCTGTTGACTCTATTCGTCTTTCATCTTGACTGAGTAGATCGTTATGTTTACGCGCCCTTCTTGCTTTATCTCTCACTTGGTATTCTTTGGCTAGTCGTAGCGCCACTTCTCGCTGTCTGTTATACTCGCGACGCCACATGACTGGATTCGTCAAGTCCACCACCCTATTTTTCCTTGGATTGGCGAGTCGCATTGACTTAGTCATCGCCTTCAGTGTTTAGTGGGCATCCCACCCGTGTACCAAATCGAACGGCTTCTCTTTTCTCGTTGAATCTCTAGAATTGTTAATGGCGTGAAAACGTTTTTCTGCAATGTCATCCCAATCTGCTTGTAGCGGATCTTCTACGTAGACCCGCACCATTTGTATCATTGTATCCACACTTCGCTCTTGTTGTCCGTTTGCTTGTGGACGACAATTGAGAGTGGCTCTTGACTTAGCTTGCATCATTTCAGCAAACGTTTGAAAGACCTAACCAATGAACCTAGGATCTCTGTCGTGACGAATGAGACTGGGAGCACCAAAATGACGAAAGATATTCTCTTCAAACGCTTTCGCTACCTCCAATGACGACGTATCATTCATGGCTTTAGCTATCACATACCCGTAAAAAGATCTTGGAACATTAAAAGCGCTGTTTTCCCCGTCGAGTCTTCGGGAGTGGGATGAAAAAGTCCATAGACACCATTCAAAACGGTCGCTCGGAAACTATATTCCCCGACTAATGCCCCTTGAGTGTTGGCTTGCTTTTGCTCGTGCTGAAATCTTCGCAACCTTGTACATGCCTTGCCACATCTGCATACTGTTCGGTCCAATAACAATCAGTCTTGACCTCGTGATATGTCTGCACAATTCCTTGGTGGCCGCCTTCTATCGAGTCATGATAATTAAACAGTATTTCATCGGCTAGTATCGTTGTAATTACGAGTCGTAGTTTAATGTCATCTTCTTGTGACTCTCTTAATTCTCGTCGCCGTCCCACGTAATAAAGCAACACGTCCTGGCTTAACACAAATCGACAGCGATCTTCCCGGATTCGCTAGCTTGACGGTGTGTAAGTTTGTCAAATTCTCCTCGCAGATACGTCTTGAAGTCTGCCCCACTTCGTCTCTTCATCTTTTGCGGTCAACATCCGTTCTCTCCGTTCCTGTTGGACGGCTGTTGGGTCGATATCCTCCGCACTGAATGATCTTCGAGTCTCTGGATTCGGTCGGATCACGGTGAGTCGAACGCGCTTCTCATATTCTCGATTTCAACCGACTCTTCACTCTCCTCTATCGATCGTCCATCACCTAGCTGGTCGGCGAATAGCACGCGACGAGTTGTACTCCGTGTAATCACTGACACCGCTGGCTTTGCTTCGATGCCCCCATCGGGTTTACTATCTCCAACCAACTTTTATAGTATCCGATTCAGTTTTCGTAGCTCTTCACAGCGTTCTTCACCCAAGAGTAGCTCTTCTGTCTTGGCCTCTAGTGATTCCGTAGCCAGAAAATCGGCAGTTGTATTGTAACAGCAAATAACGTGCAATTTTGTACGAAATTAAATCGCGAAAGTAACTCTTTATGAATTGTTAGTTCTACTTGCAGTGCGTGGTGCCTACATGACATCACTCCCATGACTTGTTGGATCGCTAGCCTCGAGCCACCCACTATGATCAGATCAGCAACTTGGTGATAAAATTCTGCTTGAGCGCCTCGGTTCATGCCGGCGTATTCTGCCAAATTTACTGTGGTAGACGGAAGGTAATTACTCGCGGCGATTACGACTGTCCACTCGGGGAGTCTCCAAAATATCCACGCACAACTTCCAAATCCGCCATGTTTTGCTGTCTTCGACGAGCCGTCGGAAGACGTGACAAACCCACTAACTTCTGACGAGACTCGTGCATGTAAAAGTCCAGGATCGAGGCGGATTATTGCTCCATGAGTAGGGCATGGGGCAATGTGGGCTAGAAATGCGTCGAGTCCGACTGTCGGCGTGATGGACGCCTGGAGTAGCTGTAGAAAGTCGACGTTGCGCTCGCCGAATCTTTTTATTTTTAGATGATAGGGTGACAGCATTACGGCAAAGCTGACTGCGCGTCCATACCACGATTTGGACGTGAAGACCCACTCCAATGCTGAGTATCTCGTATAGACGTGGATCGTTGCCCCCACAAGCAGTGTATGTACGACCTTGAATAGTTGTAATAATGCTAGCATCTCGCGCTCGACCGGATGGTACTTCTTCTCATTCTCTTCAAACAATCGGCCGCAAAATTGCACTGGATGGAATTTGTGGTCGTGTCATTGCATTAAAGTTCTACTTAGTGCCCAGTCGTTTGCGACGATCATCACGTGATCATATAGACTTTGATCAAAATGACGGAGTATGGGTGCTTTGACGATTGACTGTTTGAGTAGATCAAGCGATTTAAGAGCTATCGCCAGTGCGGGTGACCCCAGAAAATCGTCCTCCTTCAGGTGGTAGAGGACCTCTTCATAGATAGCCATATTCTGAATGAGCCGACTATAGTAATTGAGAACTCTTAAGAATGCTTGCATGCCTTTCTTCGAAGTCGAAAAGGGGATCTCAGCGATAGCTGCCATCTTCCCTGGATAAGCTGCGATCCCTTGCGC